GCAGCCTAGGTGGTGCAATCAATGTTGCGCCATCTAGGTGGTGCAATCCATGTGGTGCAATCTATGTGGCGGACAGCAGTACGTAGCAATTCAAACCAATGCATCGCAATGCAACGCAAGACAAACCAATGCACTGTAATGTCAAGCAACGCGCGGCAATGCTGCGCAATGCAAATCAATTCTCATCAAGATAAAGCAATGCAACCCCATGCGCATCATTGCACACCAATGCAACACACCGCAAGGAAGTGCAAAGCAATGCAACGCAATGCAATCCCATGCGAATCAATGCAAAACAATTCAAGTCCATGCAACGACATGCAAATTCTCGAGATGCAAGCTAGGCGGTGTAACCCATGCTGTGCAACATCTGTTGCGCAGAGTTTTGGTTCGCAGTGAGTTGTTGAGTCCACTGCTCGCGAAATCATCTTACGCACCCACCCGCAACTTGGTTTGCAAAACCCATGCGGCGGCGATTGCGATGACTGCTTGGCTCGGGCTGGCGCATCGCTGTGGCCGCGCTAGCGCGCGCCGGCCGCGCGACCGAGGGGCCACAATGGCGCTGACCGCTGGGGACTTCCCAGCACGTCTCGCAGCCCGCGCTGGCGCGCGGGCACTTTGGTGCGAGTCGGTGGCTTGGGCGGACGCGGTATCATGGCGACGTCGACAGCGGCAGGCACGACGATGATGGTAGCGACGTTTATGACGACGATGGCGATGACGACGGCAAGGCCAATGACGGCGCCGATGCTGATTACGCCTATGATGATGGTGTCCACGCGTCGGTGGTGAAGGTGGCGACAAGGGTTTCGTCATGCGCGCGCGGCCTTGGGGCGCGAATTGCCCGCATGTTCTGATTAGACAGAGGTCGTGCCCCCCCCAACACGCGCGCAAGTGCAATCGATTGATCTCGACAAGCGCGCACGACGCACGTTTGGCCGAATTTGCTTGACATATTGAAACACCAACGATTCTTCAATAATTCGACACCGTGTTACAAAGCAATGTTTTTGTTGAAGTATGTTCCGGCGCACTCGATGTTGAAAGCTTTGCGGGACTTCAGATTATTTAAGGGTTTCGTCACGCGCACTTTGTGGTACCTATTGCAAGAATTAGTTGGGAAATTGATGGGTTGCGATGAACGCGTGTGCGCGCACAGTGTCTTGTGCATAGGGTGGAGGTGTCGATACTAGGTGGGCTGGGAATATTCCGTTTCATATGTAAATTGCACAACTCCCGGGTGAACCATTAATTCCGGCCTCTGTTATCCGATTCTACTGTTTGTAGAAGCGATCATCAATGATGAGAAAAATTAAACAAACGCATAACATCGCAACGCAACGCTCTGCAACGCAACGCAATTCGCGAAGCAAACGGTACATCGCAAAGCGGGCGGCGACGACTCGGCGGGCGGCGTTAGGGCGGCGACGGCGGCCACATTGCGGTCAGAGCGGCCCGCAGGCCCAGTTTCTTAGAAGACAAGTAGGGGCCATACATGCAAGAATTGTTCGGGAAATCCATGCACATTTTTGTTGACGGTCCGTGCGGATTCTTTGGATCGTCTCTGGGACCCCCCGCTGGCTGCGCATCCAGCGCCGCCTCTGGCGCGCTCCGCGCGTCAGGGAGGGCGTCCAACGCAGGTCCAAGAAATCCGTGTGGACCGTCGAAATGTTAGGGTGGCACCGTTTCCTTTTCTCTGACCTACCAAGTCTAGTTTTGCATCTTTGTTCCTCCAGCCCATTCTGAACCAGCGGAAACGCCCAATGGACCCGGACTGCTAAATTAGACCTTCAAGAGACTAGCATCTTCACCGTGCACCCAAACTATGGATTGTTGCGGCTCGATGTGGAACCTGATTTCTGCACGCCGACGTCGCCAGTGCATCGCCGACTTCGCCGATGCATCGGTGATGCATTGAGGATGCGGCGCGATCCGCCGACCCCATCTACTCCGACCCCATATGGGACGCTTCTATTTACGTCACGAGCGCTGGAAGCACAGGCAAGACGCTGAGGCCAGGACAACTTGAGGTTCTGTAGGGTCGGCATGGAGGAAGAGGGTCCTGAGGAACTCGGGTCCTGAGGCTTTTCGCCCTGCCTGGTTCCCTGGTGCCCTCCATGGGCCCCGGGATCGTCAGGAAACTGCTCGGGACGAGCAGCTCTGGTCCTGGGGGAGGCCCTTGCGGGTTGCGGCGACGGCAAGTGGCCTTCGGGGGGCCCTCTTGCCGCCGCGGCCGGACGCAGCCCTGCAGAGCGGAGCGGTGCGTTTGGACCCGGGAGGGGTCCGGGGGCCGATCTTGGGTTGCCGTTGGTGTCTCCTGGCATCGCTCGGGCGTGTGCACGTGTTCTCGGCGAGAACCATGGAGGACCTTCCTGGACCATCGAGCACAAAAAACACGCACGAAGCCGAACAACAATGCACGGGAAATTGGCGTCCGAGCGATGGCAAGGTGTCGCTTTTCGCTCCGCTCCGAGACGCGCCACGAAACCGAACAAACACGCACGAAACACGCTCGAAGCCGAACAAAAACGCACGGGAAATGGGCGTCCGAGCGATGGCAAGGTGTCGCACTTCGCGCCCCGCTCCGAGGCGCGCCACGAGCGACGGAGGCAGCGAAGGACGCGGGGGCAAAAGGGCCGCTCGGGGCTCCGGAGGGCCTCTCTGGCGTGCTGGGCCGCTCCGCAGGCCCAGAGATGCGACGTGTATTGTTTAGGCGGGTCCTGTCCCTCTACAGGGGGAACGTTCAAAAATAGTCCAAAAAGTAGTGCACGGGGGCTATTGAAAGAATTCTTGACGCTTCGCGTATCCCCACCAGACGCCCTCTCTGGCACAGGTGCACTCCGGCGTTGGCTCTGCCCCATGCTCGATACGACCCGCTCTCTGGAATCGTCCTTGGAGCCGCAAATCAAAAAAAGTATCACCACCAGTTGCCCCGCTTCTTGACCTTCGTCCTGGAGCCGCCGACCAACAAAAAAAAGTATCCCCACCAGCTCAGCCCTCACCTTGCTGCCCCAGCGGCCGCCTTGTGAGCTGGCCCGGCCAGCCTGTCCTGCGCCCTGCAGCTAATTAGGTTTGTTCGCAGCCCCGGGAAACTTCTGTCGCCGCCTGCGCTCTTCGCTCGCGGCCGCGACCGAAAAAGCATCCCCACCAGCCCATCCAGAATTGATTGCCAGTTTTCTTGAGGCCTCTTTGGAGGCTATCTTGAGCCCTGCCCTGCTCGGCTATTGGCTGTCGGAGGCTATCTTGGGCCATCTTGAAGCTGTCTTGAGGTTTCTTGGAGGTCTGTCGGAGGCTACCTTGAGCCATGCTTGGCTATCTTAGGCCATGTTGAAGGCCATCTTGGGCTATCTAGGGCTCTCTTGGAGCCATCTCGGGCCAAAAAGGGCGGGGTGGAGGGTCTTTGGGAGAGGCTGGGAGGCCTCTTGGGGCCATCTTGGGCCCCATGTCTCAAAAAGAGAGGGTCCCTCAATTAGGATCCTCCCCTCGGAGGTTCTCAAACGGCGTCTTGGGGCCGTCTTGGAGCGCTCTTGGGCGCCTCTTGGGCGATCTTGGGGCCGTCTTCGGCCTTCTTGGGTCCCTCTTGGGGCCCTTTTGGGCCATCATGGTGCCATCTTGAGGCTTCGAAAGCCCATCGGAAGCGAAAAGGCGAGAATGCCAAACACATTGATTTTCCCTAGGCTTTTGAAGGGTTTTGGCTTCTTGGAGAGCGCCGTGGAGGGCTCGAAGGGCACTTGGGTCCGTCTTGGGGCTGTCTTGGGGCCTCTTGGGAGTAGGTCGGAGGCTATCTTGACCCATCTTGAAGTAACATGGGCCATCTTGGAGGCCATCTTGCGACTTTGAACGCCTCTTGGAGCCATCTTGGACGCTCTAACGCCTCGCGGCGCGCCCCGTCCAGGCCCAGAGGAGGGGGTAGGGGGAGGGGCTTCAGTGGAAGAGAGAAGCAAAAAAGGCGGTATACCACCTAAGCCCAGAGGGCTGGTGGGATTTGTTTTGACCATTTTGGAGCATTTTTCTATATTGTTTATTTTTCGTCGAAAATCCCCCTGTAGGGGGACGCGCCCGGCTTAAACGTATTGGCAAACATCGGAGGTTCTTCGCAGAGTTCGGCCCTTAGGGGCCTCGCCGGGCCTCGGGGCCGTCAACAAAAACGACTCAGGATGAGAAACTGGTCCCAGGGAATGTGTCGGGACTTCCGGGGACCCCGCATTGAAAACATCACGGCATCGGATCTCCGGGGATCTGGGTTGGGGAGCCCATTCGGAGGTTCGTTGTGGCTAGGAGGGAGCCCCTTCGTCTGATTCGGCTCCCCTTTTCTGGGAGCACGACGGCTAGCATCGACACCCCTGTCCCTGCGGTTTGGATGCTGGGGCGCGATGCCAGATTACGAGATCCCATGGACACGTTTCGTGCGGGGGCATCCCCGCGGAGCCGCACTGTTCACGGTATACGTTCGGTGGTTGCCGAGGAGTCTGCATCGCGATGCCGTGCATACGGTTGCTTTTCCCGTCCACGTCTTCAATTGGTCCATCTATTCCGTTGGGCATGGTCCAAAAGCAGCTACAGAGGTTTTTCTCGACTCTTGCCTCCAAGGTCATGTCTCGGGACCTGAGACTGTCAAACATCGATCCGGGACGGAAAACCCCTCAGGATGGGACCTGGGAAGGGTCCAAGCACTGAGTTTGCGTGGAGTTTCTGGTGTCCTGCCAAGGGTGGCCCCGGCCCAATGTGATCCTGGCTGTTTTTGAGGGAGGCTCAGGTGAGCTCCCAAAGTCTCCAAAATAATACCAAAAGCTGGAGGGGGATTGGGCCATAATCGCTTTTGCAAAGATCGGCATATGGGGGCGCCCGTAGGGCCTTTCTGGGCCGTTAAGCTGCTTCAATGCCTGGCGCCTCCAAGGGGGCTGGCGCTTACCTAGCGGCCTGGCTCTCAGCGACGAGGACTGCGAGGAGGTTGCGCAGCGCGTCCCGTACGGCAACGCCCCGAGTGTGCTTGGGCTGAAGAAAGCGGCTCTGAAGGAAAAAATGCCGGCACATATCTCTGCTTCAATCACTGATCCAACTCTTTTCAGCCACGCGCAGAGGGGGTTGGTGGAGGGGGAGCTTCTTTAGAAGCACCCCTGCTTTCTGAGAAGGCGCGCCTTATCTATAGATGTAATGCCTGCGCCTTCTAAGAAGCAGCCTGCTCCTAAGAAGCCCTCCCCCCTCCCTCCACCCCCTTGTGCGCGCCGCCAAAATATACTATTTTTGTTTTGTTTCTCGAGATGGGGGAGCATGTGGCGGGTCGGGCGGTCCAGGTCGGCCGAAGCGCAACGAAGCGAAGCGGAAACATGGAGGAACGGGAGGAGGGGGAGGGGGAGCAGGAGGAGAATGAGAAGGGCAAGGATAAGTGGATGAGGAGGGGAGGAGGAGGAGGAGGGAGGAGGAGGCAGGAGGAGAGGAGGACAGGAGGAGAGAAGGGGAGGAGAGGAGGAGGAGAACGGAGAAGGAGGAAGAGAAAGGAGGAGGAGGAGGAGAAAATTATGATTGAGGTAGGAGGAGGGATAGGAGGGAGGAGGAGAAGAGGAGTAGAGGAAGCAAGGAGGAGCAGTAGGAGCAGAGAAGGAGGAGAGGAAGGAGGAGGAGGAGGAGGAAGAGCAAGAGGAGCAGGAGGAGGAGGAGGAGGAGCAGGAGGAGCAGGAGGAGCAGGAGCAGTAGGAGGAACAGGAGCAGGAAGAGGAGGAGGAATAATAATAATACTAAGAAGAAGAAGGAGAAGAAGCTGAGGAAGACAATGAAGAAGAAGAAGATGACTAATAATCCTGTTAAGAAGAGGAAGAAGAACAAGAGAGCAGGAGGAGGAGGAGGAGGAGGAGAAGCAGGAGGAGCAGGAGCAGTAGGAGGAACAGGAGCAGGAGGAGTAGGAGGAGGAATACTACTAATACCAATAATACTAAGAAGAAGAAGAGGAAGCTGAATAAGAAAATGAAGAAGACGATGCATAATAATCCTACTAAGAAGAAGACGAACAATAATATAGCAGAGAGGAAGGAGGAAGGAGGAGGAGGAGGAGGAGAAGGAGGAGGAGGTTGGAGGAGGAGGGAGGAGGGAGGGAGGAGGATAACGTAATGATGAAACGTTGCGAGATGGAGGGCGGGAAGAGGAGGGTGACGGAAGAACCAGGGGAGAAAAGGAAGTTGAGGAGGATGAGGAGGAGGGATGAGGAGGAGGAGGAGGAGGAAGTAGAAAGGAAGGGCGGAGGAGGAGGAGGAGGAGGAGGAGGAGGAGGAGGGGGAGGAGGACAAGTTAGGTGCGCTCGCGTCAACATCTGACATCCTACCCCTCCCTCCCATCCTGAACCATGGCGCTGATTTTCTCTATCCCCGGACGCGTGTCGTAGCGGACCTGTGGCTCCGCGCGCGTGTGCGTAGTGGGTGGTGGTGCGCGTGCGTGCGTGCGTGTGTGCGTGGTTGTGGTTGTTGTGGTGGTGGTGTGTATGTGTGTGTGGTGCGTGTGTGCGCGTGTGCTGAAGTGTGACGTGGTGTGGCGTCTTGGTGGTTTGGTGGTGGGCCAGGTGCGTACGTGCGTGATGGCGGTGGTGGTGGTGGTGGCGGTGGTGGTGTGTGTGTGTGTGTGTGTGTGTCTGTGTGTGTGTGTGCGGGTTAGGTGTGGGCGTGCTTGCGCGCGTGCGTGCGTGCGTGCGTGCTGCGTGCGTGTTTGTCTTGTGTGCGCGCGTGTTCTGTGGTGTGACGCGTGGTAGCGTGGTGGTGGCCGTGCGCGGTGGTGGTGCGCGTGCGTGCGTGCGTGCGTTGGTGGGTGGAAGTGGTGGTGGGTGTGCGTGCGGCGGGGCGGGGCGTGGTGCGGCGCGGTGGTGGCGGGCGGACGGGCGCGCGAGAAAGAGGCCCGCGCTGGGGCGAGAACGCCATCGTGAACGACGGAGGCAGAACACCGATCCGAAAACGAGGCCCACGCTGCAGCGGGAACACGATCCGGAACGATTCGGGAACAGAAATGAGGCCGGCGCCTCAGCGAGAGCAGCATTTTGAAAAAAAAGCGCAGGCGAAAACCCAACTCCCGGGAATCCTGTGTGTAGAAAAACAGTACGCGGGGGGGGGTCGAATATTCCCAGCACGCCATCAGGGGAAGAGGGAGAGTAGTATTCATATTGAGTAATCGTGGAAGGAGAAGAAGGAAAAGGCGGGGAAGGAAAGGAGGGACGAGGAGGAGGGAGGCGGAGGAAGGCGAAGCGTGAGAAGCAGGGCCGAGGGAAAGCCCGCCCGGCCCGCCTCTGATGCCCCACCCGCCCGCCCGTGCTGGGGGCTCGCCCGCACTTGTCGGTGACCCTCGGCACGCGTGCCGGCCCAAGCGCGTGCGTTTACCCCCGGTGGGCGGCACAGTTCGGCCCAGCGGTACTCCCGTTCGCGCCATGCATCGCCAGCGCTGGTCGCCCCCCGGGCCCAGGCCGCCGGCGCAGAAGGAGGGTTTGCCCCAGGTGTTGGCTCGTTTCGCAAAATCAAATGCACTACATCAGATGTACCACGTAGTTTGCTGGAGCACGCCGTTTAGGGCTCGCGTTGGCTCACATTCGTTTGGGTTTCAGATTCTTCGTTATCGGAGCATGCCGTAGTAGGCGTACAGGAATGCACACACGGTCGGTCCCTATTCCAAACAAGTCGCGCCCCCTTGCCCCCACTTCGGGAGCGTATGTTGGCCAGGGGCAGGGCGAGGGGTGCCGAGGCCAACCCGCCCAGCAGTGGCCCCACACCGCTCGCCCGTTTTTCAAGGGCCTGCTCGTGCCCGCCATCCCGCTCGTCTTTGGGCGCGCCTGGCCAGCTCGCAGGCGGGTCCGATCGTGATGTGACGCCGTGGCTACTGCTACCTCAGACCCAAGCGTCCTCCTCCTTATCCTCCTCCTCATCCTCCTCCTCCTCCTCCTGCTCCTCCTCCTGCGCTTTCTTCTCCTCCTCCTCCTCCTCCTCCTCCTGCTCCTGCTCCTTCTCCTTTTCCTCCTCCTCCTCCTCCTCCTCCTCTTCCTGCTCCCCCTCCTCCTCCTCCTCCTCCTCCTCCTCCCTCCTCTCTCTCCTCCTCCCCCTGCTCCTCCTGCTCCTCCTCCGCCTCCTCCTCCTCCGCCTCCTCTCCTGGTCCTCCTGCTCCCCTGCTCCTCCTGCTCCTCCTCTTCCTCTTCTCCTCACTCCTCGTCCTTCCTCCCCCTCCTCCTTCTCCTCTCCTCCTCCTCCTCCTCCTCCTCCTCCTCCTCCTCCTCCTCCTCCTCCTCCTCCACCTCCTCCTCCTCTCCTCCTCCTCCTCCTCCTCCTCCCCTCCTCCTCCTCCGCCTCTCCTCCTCTCCTCCTCATCCTCTCCTCCTCCTCCTCCTCCTCCCCCTCCCCCCCTCCTAGGCCCCCCAGCTGTGGTCGGAGTAGGCAGGCCTCCCCCCCTATGGACGTTCGGCCCGCCCGCTGACAGCATCGGCGATGTGGCCCGCGGGGAGCCCGCCTTGGCCGCGCGGGTGCGCGGCTTGGCTGCTGGCGCTGTGCGGCGGCGGCCGGCTCGCTGGGCCAGGCGTGGCCGGCGGCGCCGCGGACGGCATCTCGGAGTGCCTCCGCGCCTCGGGCACGCGCCCGGAGCGGTTCTGGAGACATCCGCACTTTGGCGTCGTCGTGTCGTCGTCTTCGCTCGCCGCTGCCATCGCCGCGAAAGATGGGGGCGAGTTGAGGCAACGGCAGTTGGCCTTCGAGGGCCCCCTGCGTCGCCACGGCTGGACGCAGCTCGGAGCACTGGTGCGCTTGGACCCTTGACAGGGATCCCGGGACCGATTATGAGCTGCCCTTGTCTCAAGTCACCCTGCTGCGACCGTTGTCGCCCAGAGCACGCACATCGGGCACGCGCCCGGAGCGGCTCTGGAACCGGGGGCTAGCCAGTGCCCTCGGACCATCTTGGCCGCACGCGGGGCCGACGCCCACCCCTTCTAGGCCTCCCACATGGGGTCCGAGGATGGCGCCGCATCGCCGATGCATCGCCACTACTAAGGCTCGATGTGGAACCCGACTTTCTCCGCGCTGGCGTCGGCGAGGCGCCGCCGACGTCGCCGATGCATCGCCGTGGCCTCGGCTGTGCCTCGGCTGTGCGTCGCGATCATGCGACCCTGTGTGCTCGGGCCCCATGCAGGAGGCCGCGACTGTGGCCGCCGCCCCCCGCCCCCTTGCGTCGCCTCTATCCGCTCACCCAGGTCTGGGAGCCGCCGTGCGACCCGCTTGGGGTCGTCTGCGCCGACGAGGCCCTCTTCGCCGACATTCGCGCGCAAGCTGCCCGCGTGAGGTCGCGCGTCAGCGCCCTCATCTCCAGCCCAGCACGCAGCGCTGGCGGCCCGCGTACGCTGCGGCCGGCGCCAGATCGCTGCGCCATCTCGCGCAGGACCCCCATGGCCTTGGCTCGCGTGGTCGAGCGCTGATCACCAGGGTCAGTCACGCGCAGCGAACACGTCCGTGTCTGCACCCCTTGCGGTCTGGACTCCGGGGCGCGCTCCCGCGGGTACCTTTTCGCACGGGCTGCGCGCGCTCCGCGCGGGGCACCCACGAAGAAGCGCCTCCGCGTCCGCGGGGGTCGCGGCCCAGGGGCCCGGCCCGCGAGGACCCGGGTACGGAGACGTGTTTTTTTTCGCCCACGAGACAGTGCGCCCCCGTGTTGGCAATGTTGGCAATCCATGGGGCAGCGCTCCTCACCCTCCTCTTCCACCACCACTTTCACCTCGGAGCGCGGGGCCTTCATAGGGTCACGAAGGTTCGGAGTGTTGTTTTGCCTACGGTTGTGCATGACCCTAAAGGCCCCAGTGCTGATCCCCACAGTGTCGTGCAGCATGAGCTGCAGATTTATCGCAAGCTCTGGCGAGCAACCGCCTCCCCACCGGTTGCCTGGATTCCCGATCGGTCCAGTTTCCCGAGGGCGGCTCCGAGTGAGGTTCGTAAGGTGATCCAGAGTTTTTCGGAATCTACCGCTAGGTCCTTGGAACAATTTCATCCGAGGCATT